TTTCCTTCTCTCCCTGTAGCCACATCATTAAATCAGTCATGTGCTCTAACTGTGGCCAAATCATTGAATTTAAATTGGATCTACGTGACACCAAATGATGGATTCTTTAGTCATTCTTTTTATAGATAGATAAAAGTCCTCAATGCTTTGAACTCATTCTTTATTCTAAGAAAATAAGTGTGTTTATTTTTTACCACCAAGACCTAAAGTTCAATTATGGCTGACTAACAGCAGTTTAAATAGTATTTTAACTAAACAGCCTTGGCTTTTAGGCTTCCAACAGGGGCACTTCTAAGTAAATCTTCCTTGGTTAACAGCTGTCAACTGTCAATGAGCTAAAGATAATTAAATTTGAAGATAGCTTTATGGCTCAGAAAAATAAATAAAAGTCATTGGACCAGAAAGGTCTTAAATTAATGCAGTTATTACTCTCTGTGGAATTAGAATTAATATAAGAAATTGATTATCTAATGAAACAGATGAAGAGAACTGCCTTTGTTATGTGCAGGTAAAGTTTAGTTGAGGCTATTTTCCTTGTTAAGATCACATTCTTGGTTTCACTTCATTATAGATTAGGAAGAAAAGGGAAAAAAGAAAAAAGAGTTTTCTCATTTTTTAGATACCCAAACTAAACAAATCATGATAGAAAGGGTGAGGATGTGGTAGCTAGGAGCTTTGAACACTCCAAAGATGTATCAGTTAGTAAGGGTTTCAACAACAGGAAATGAAAACCTCAATTCAAGATACCTAAGAAATTCAAGGATTTCTTTGAATCTTACATAACCAAATTAGTCCAGGTATAGAGCAGTTTCAGAATTAGTTCAGAAATTAAATGATTTCTTAAAGAACTGAGCTTATTTTTTCTGCTTGCAATTCTCAGCTAGCAATCTTCTACATATCTATAACTGCTACAAGTATAATATGCTCACAGACCAATGTCCAGAGGTAGGAAAAAAGACACTTTTTGTATGCACCACTTTTTGAGATGTAAGAAATCTTTTAAGTAGCCCTGTAGAAAGCTTCTCTTTAAAGCTCATTGACCAAAACTAGTCACAAGACCACATTTAAACCACTCACTGGCTAGGGGGATGGAACCACTGTGGTTGACATAGACCATCTCTGCCAACCAGGAAGAAAAGAAAAACATCTGTTAGACAAAGGGTCAATTGTGTCTCCTGCTGAAAGGAATACACATCGATCTTCTACTGTGTGCTGGTAGACTATCATTTGAACTATGTTTTGTTTTTTTAAATTAATTAATTTATTTTTGTTACAGATGTTTCTCCTTTTCCCCCCATTGACACACCCTCCTCCCCATGCCCTCCCACCTTGTCCCCAGCTTTGTTATCTATGACCATTGGTTATGCAAACATGTATATAAATTCTGTGGTTTATCTCCCCCCCAACATCTCCTCTTCTTTAATATAACCAATTTATAGAGGAGAAAATCTAAACTGGGGAAGTGAAGTAGCTTTCTTAAAGTAGCATACCTAGTAAGTGATAAAACTTGGATTTCAACTTAGAATTGTCTGACTCCAAATATGTAGTCTCTCCACAATATCACATTGTTGCCTATGCATCATGGCTCACAAGTTCAGCTATAGAGCTACTGTTTTTTGATCTAACAATCATTGCATCTCTATGCTTTCAGTTCAGATTTACTCTTCCTCAGACCTGGCCGTTTACTTTTAGAGCTTCACATAATCCATAAGAAGAATTGGAAATACCTACCTGCATATTGATATTTCTAATGGCAAATTGGCTATCTAATTTTATGTATTTGTAGGACAGGTCTGTTTTTATTTAAATTTTAACCATCAACACTCAAGGAATCTCTCTACCAAAGAAATTTTGAATCCCCCCAAAGTAGTAAAGGCATGTTCATTTATTTCTCCTGTTCTTAGTTTACAACTTTGGAAGTGGGCATTTATATATCCCAAATACCCCAAGAGTAAATTCATATAAAATGATTTCTAACCCTGTAAGTTTTCCTCACATCAGCTCTTTCTTTTCACTTCTAGCTTAGCAGGCCTTTATTAATGTCATATCTGGAACAGTGTCTTAGTTTTCTAAGGTCACATACTCCAAAATTGTCCTGCACACTAAAAAAAAAAGGTCATTTCATTTAAAAAATGTTTTTATTGTTTTACTCTCTTGCTTAAATAATTTGAGGAGATTATTCTACGTGTGAAAAAAGAAGCAGTCAATATATTAATAAACATAAATCAGGAAAATTAGTCCTCCATATTTTCTCATGTAAAAAATTTATTCTTCTTACTTTGCTGGCAGAAGCTTGATGTCTTGTCTCAAGATGTAATAATGGGTAACTCATGTCACTAGAGGATAGACACTCTTAAAAACATTTGATGTATATTAGCAATTACACCTCACAACACCCCTATGCAGTGGGTACTATTACCACCCTGACTTTACAGATTGAAGACACTGAATACTGAGGGACAAACACACTTGATAAATACATAGAGAAATGAAAGGGCAGAGCCAGGACCTAGATCCCAGTAGTTGGTCCCCAGAGGCCATGAACTGAGTCATGTTTTACTTTTTTAATCTATGAATTTTACTGGAGGGTTATTTATTAAAGATATATGTATTGAACATCTACTCTGCACTGTATTCCATTCCTAATGGTTTACAGAAAATTATACAACCATGAATCTGTTCCATAGGATGACAAAGTTTCAAAAATACCCTGGATTTTAGGCAGCCTTTGAGTGACATTTGTTGAATTCTGTATTCTCTCTCATGTTCTGAGCCCTCAAATTTTTTTCCTATTTCAGTAATAACCTCTGGTCTAGCAGGAGCTGACATTTTTCCTGATGACATCCTACCATGCTTTCTTGCTTTCCTCCTAAAGGAAGTTTCTCCAGTTTCTGGGCCAGTGACACAACCACTGCCAACTCGATCACCTGCCTATGATACCTAGTGAGGCCCAGTAACTAGGTCAGCACCCTGCCACAGTGCCCAGTATCTCAATCCCCCAACCTCCAAAGATCTGTCATCCAGTCTCTTGTTTAAATGATCTTTCAATGTCTTTTGGTCTTGTATTTTTTCATGATTGACTTCTCAAGATTCGTCTGAAATATTTTTTCTAACTTCTTAATGGTTTCTTTCACATAAAAATGTCTGTACTTTACTGTCATATGGAAAGAATATTAGAACCTATGTTTTAAGATCATGTGTTAGTAATTTTAGGGATCTAGCTCCTTACATTGGGGGAAAAAAAAAAAGGGAAAAAGTAAGAAAGTATACATTTTATTTAATTCCATATGCTTTTCTTATAACTAATGGTTTAAATTTGATAATACTAATAGTAATAATTATTAGAGTTTATTGAATGCTTTCTCTGTTAGTCATTTCAAATATTTACATGTATGAACTCAATTTTTATGGACACTCTTGGTAGAAGGTATTTGTTGCTTTTTAAAACTGAGGAAATGATTGCAGAGAAGTTAAGTACCTTGTTCCATGTCACAGAAAGTTAGACTCCACGGCCTGGCTTCCGAGTCACTATGTTACTCCCGTGGCATTTTCAGATTATTGGCTAGATAGAAAACTACTTGAAGGATATTATGACAGCTATTCTGAACTAGTGTGACCAGAAAAGAGGTTAAATGTGTGACTTCTCTGTCTTCACATATAAAATGTAGCCCGAGCCCTGGCCGGTTTGGCTCAGCGGTTAGAGCATTGGCCTGCGGTCCAGAGAGACCCGGGTTCAGTTCCCGTTAAGGGCATGTATCTCAGTTGCAGTTTGTCCCCGGCCCTGGTTGGGTTGTGTGGGTGGCAACCACTCGATGTGTCCCTTTCACGTCGATGTTTCTCTCTCTCTTCCTCTCTCTCCTTCCCACTCTATCTGAACAGAAAATGGAAAAATATCCTCAGATGAGGATAAAAAAAATAAAAATAAAAAAATAAAATGTAGCCCGAGTGCTCACAGGATGTAATTCATGACTTCCTACAAGAATTCTTATAATTTCCAATTTTGGTTTAAGTCAAATCACAGCCCTATCAGGATTTCTAGAAATGTATTTTTGAGTCAATAAATAAAAATTAAGAAAAAATGTTAATCCATCACTGGAACAGTAATCCCAGAAAGCCGATTCTTGTACATTTTTTTCATTCTCGTAAGATCATGATCAAAAGAACAAAGGAAGCATGAACTCTTTGGAAAAGTCTTAAATTATACAAAAGAGCATTTTGACTGGAAAGAAAATTGAATCTGCTATAATTGTTTTTTTTTTTTTTTTTTAATTTTTTTATTGTCATCATGCATTATCTTCAAAGTTCAGCTATACAGGTACATATTTAACATAAAAGAAGTGAATGAACATGAGTCACTGATCATTTAGATACTGAAATCTCAAAATTTGTAACATCTGAACATTAATTATTTTTCCTTCCAATGACATTGCCTTTTGAATTGGGGTATAATGGGAAAAAGTGGGTTTCTTTTAAAGAAATTTATTGAAAAATATATTAAACTGGTTAGAATTATGTTGAGGAAGTAAGGTAGGTATTTAGATTAGAAAATAATTCTAAATTATGTACTGAGTCCAACAATAAAACATTAAGACAGACTAGGAAGTCATTCACACTGACATTGTTTATTTGTTTTGGGGGCTTTTTCTTTTGTTTTTTTAACCTGCTAACTTACTATATAGTTTTGGTTAATCTGTTTTAAATAGTCTTGAGTAAATGACAGTCAGGAATAAAACTGAATTGAGATTCTTGCAACATGTGAATAATTTTGCAACTAAATATCATCACCATAAAATTTAAAATTGCATTTATTGACTTATATTTTACTTCAGTGATAATAAAAATATCCACTGAACCAACTCTATTTTAAAATTAATTTATTACTGTTGGAGGAAAATTTATCTTTACTTTTTGGTAAATATTTCTGTAAGGTAATTTTTATTAAAATAAAAGAATTATAGAACCAAGTTACTCCATTTTCACTGTGTTGTTCACTGTTTCAGAGCTCCGAGAAACCAAGACCTCGGAATACTTCAGCCTGTCTCACCACCCTTTAGACTATAGGATATTATTGATGGATGAAGATCAGGACCGGATATATGTGGGCAGCAAAGATCACATTCTTTCTTTGAATATTAACAATATAAGTCAAGAAGCTTTGAGTGTAAGTATATTACTTGCATGAGGTCAATGTTGACCCCACTAGTTGCTTTTTTTCTGTAAAAATTACAAATACAGTAAAAATGTATGTATTTTATTAGCACAATAGAACTTACTGGCTACAATAGAACTTACTGGCTAATAAATAATTGGAAGTTAGTATTTATTTAATGGACTGAAAATATAATTAATTCAATTCTCTTTGCCTAGTTTCATAGTTTTGAACAATCTAAAATCTGAAGCTAAAAGAGAAAAAAAAAGGGACATTTCCTGTTTATACATATATAGAAAGACAAAAATAGAAACATGAAGTATAGCATGAAAAAAAAAGGTCAGATTAAAGGAAGACCCACCTTATCATTTATATGTAATCCAAGAAGGCCTTGGAAGAAACACAATTATTAAATGCACTGTTCTTTGAACAAATGTGGTCTATATTTATCATTCTGTTTCACAACAAGGAAGTAAATTTCTTCACTAAAGTAAAGAAATAAAAGTGGATTATAAATTTATTACAGCCAGGAGATTTCTGAATTTGTTATTTTAACAATGGGCAACAGACAATTAAAACAAATAATCATCACCACCCAAGGCTATAATGACTTGGAATGCTAGTACAGTGTTTCAGAGCAGAAATCTCTTGGATTTTATCCAAGTTATTTTAACTGTTGATGTACCTCAGGGCCCATTTTAAGTAAATCTACCAGCCTGGCTGTATAGTTTACCCCAAATAATATTAAACTGTGATTATAATATAAATGTAAATTCATCGTGATATAAGCAGTTAGGGAAAGTGCACTATAAATCCAAGGAGGGAAATATGCATTATATCGTGCCCATTAATAATGACATCTTTTAATATTATACCATTAATAAATGGGCACATACTGAAATGCTTTTGCTAAAAGAAAAGTAGACAGAAGGAATAAAAACACAATTTTAGAATAAAATATAAAATATTAGTTTAAGTTCATAAAATGAAAGAAAGAAATAATGTTAGCATAAAGTAAATGAAGAACACTGAGCTGTTCTACAGTGAGATTTATACAATCTTTATTTCCCTTTCTGAGCAGGTTTTCTGGCCAGCTTCTACAATCAAAGTTGAAGAGTGCAAAATGGCTGGCAAAGATCCCACAGTGAGTGCTTTAAAAAAAAACAAACTTAAATACTTGGTCTTTGAATCCACGCACCTTGAGTGCAGCCAAGAGTGATACAACGGGTGTTGGTGTTTTAAATCCTCTGCTGGACACATGGTAAAAAATATAAATACAGAAAGATTGGAAGTCTTAAACAATGTAATTTAGGAATTCCTGACTGGGTAAAAATTTCCTGACTTGCTTTCATTATTACACCCTGACACTTTTCATGATGGATTTCAGTAATAACCTTCGTTCCAAGTGGATCCAACCTGTGGAATTCTCAGCAGGCTGCTAAAATAATGATAATGCAAGAATCTGGATCAATTCCCAGATACCATGTGGTCTTTCCCTAAGAAAGATTCTCAGCAAAAGGGTTGTGGCTAGCCGCCACATTCCAGAGGCATAAATCACCAGTGACGACTGGTATCTTTATTAATTAAAAATAACCATAGAAACAAAAATCAAGACAGGTATAAATATCAATAAATTGTCAGTGTGCAACACTTGTACAAATTGTGTTCCTTTACGAAGAATTCCAGACAGAATCACGGAATAAATCTATATTGATTTCTACTAATGAATTGCTGAAACTGACAGATCCTTGAATAGTATAAAAGAAATACATGGGGATCTTTAATGTACATATCATTTAATGTTTATAATGAAGCATATATATCATTTTACCTTCTTATCTCAAACCATGAAAAATAACATAACGATTCAAGTATAAAAATCACTTATTCTTATATAAATAATTTGGTAAAGAAGTTTCTTTTTTATACTCATGCAAAGATATGTTTATTGATTTGAGAGAGAGAGAGGAAGAGTGACACGAGTCCTTTGCCTCTTGTACATTCCCTGACTGGGGATCAAACCCGACACCTAGGTATGCACCCTGAACTGGAATCAAACCCACAGTTTGGTGTATGGAATGACACACCAACCAACTGAGCCACCCAGTCAGAGCAAGAAGTTTCTTTATTCATTCATTCTTTCAATCATTTATTCAACAGATATTGATCAAACACCTGTTGTGCATCTGGCATAATGTTAATTGCTAAAGATACAATTTTGTGCCAGAAAAGACATATTTGACTCTCATCAACTTTTTTTTTCTTTTTGGAGAAGTCAACATTAATCTAATAAGTATGGTAGTACATGCTAATGCAGGTATGGGATTGAAATACAGTGATTGTTTAGCAAAATTAATAAATGTATTCACGCACACAATCAGGTCTGAGGTCATCACAAATAACAACCTCGGCCTAGTGTTGACTAAACACCATTACAAGTGTAGCATTATAAGTGTAGGGGAACGAAATGCTGATTTCAGGAGAGAAGGCTGTGTGCTGAGTTTTGGTAGTGAGTATTTCAGAGATTCATCAGATTATTCAAAGCAAAGACTGATTCTTGTAGAAGGAGAAAGTGTGGAAATGAAATTTTATTTTCATTGACTCTTAATAGTCTCAAGTGTTAGGTTCTGAAGAGGTCAAGCTGAGTGCTGAAGGCTGGAGTGCTGAATCTCCAGGTCTCACTGGTAGGTGTTCTCGGCAAGAGAGCTCACCAGGAGCGACCCACCAATGGGTTTCACTTCTTCAGATTCATAATTCACCTTATAAGAGAAATAATTGTGCGTGAATTAAATTATTTTCTTTCATTCTCTAAGGTAGAGATTTTCCCCACTAATGTATATCTGATTATGACTTGCTTTTTACCACAGTAATATCCTGTGGCTATAATTACAGGATTTTATTGTTCTTTGTTCAGAAAGATTTTTATTTCCCATTAATATAGAATATGTAGGATTTGGATACTTTTGTACTTTCTTGTTCCAAAACTTGCTATAGATTTTCTAATGAATCTTAGCCGAAGCATTACATTTCTTTCTCCCTTTGCAAAATAGAAAGGCTCTGTCATTTGTTTTTTTATAATTAAAAGTCATTATACAAAATTGTCAATGCATGTTTATGTTTTCTCATAGTTTTCGCATACTGTACTATCATTCATAGATATCATTATATTCTGCCATTCAGTCAATTAGTATACACAATGTAATTAACTGGAGGACAGTTCTAGTATAGCCAAAATTGTGGGGTCCTAGGAAATAGCAATCAAACGAGCTCAAATAAATGCTCTGCCTATGCAAGAGAATGTTTGACAAATCCATCTTATTTCATACATGTGAGATACATACAGAGAAGTGTCCTTTAATCAGCCACAGGAAAAAGGCCACTGGTAAAAAAAATGATGGTAAATAGCCCTTTAGAAATCCTATAGAACAACATATTTTTATTATCCTTTTGAATGAAACCAAATATTAAAGAATTTCTTAACTCTGTTGGAATAGATAACATCTAATTGCTTCATATTCATGGCATAAAATGTGGGAATTTAATATTTTACTTGGTAAGAATCAGTTATTATGGAGAAACCATAGATCAATAAGGATGGAGTCCCTACTTTTAAGATCCATCAACAAATCATCAAACAACAAGTGTGGGTGAGGGTGTGGAGAAAAGGGGACTCTAGTGCACTGCTGGTGGGAATGCAGACTGGTGCAGCCACTATGGAAAACAATATGGTGTTACCTCAAAAAATTAAAAATTGAACTTCCATTTGACGCAGTGATCCCACTTCTAGGAATATACCCTAAGAAGCCTGAAACACCAATCAGAAAGAATATATGTACCCTCATGTTTGTAGCAGTACTATTTACAATAGCTAAGATCTGGAAACAGCCCAAATGTCCATCAGTGGACGAATGGGTAAAAAAGTAGTGGTACATATACACAATGGAGTACTATGCAGCTGTAAGAAAGAAAGATCTCTTATCCTTTGAGACGATATGGAGGGACCTGGAAAGTATCATCCTAAGTGAAACAAGACAAACAGAGAAAGTCAAGTATCATCTGATCTCACTTATTTGTGGAATATAATGAACATAACAGTCTGAGGAATGGGGTAGTTTCAGAGACATGGAAGTGGGGTACAGACTGACAATCCCCAGAAGAGGGGGCGAGGGGGAGAGATCAACCACAGAACTTATATGCATGTATGCATGAACAGTGGACATGGACAACAAAGCTGGGGACAGGTCGAGGTGGGAGGGGGAGGAGGGAATCAGTGGGGTAAAAAGGAGAAACATCTGTAACAAAAATAAATAAATTAATTTAAAAAGTCTTTACAACATACTAGAGATGATGAGGCATACATGCAATAATTATCAAATAATAATAGCCAACATTTTATGGAATGGGCTAGTCGCATTTCTGTGTGCCTTATTTTAATCCTTATAGTGATGTTAAAAGGTGGACATTGTTGTCATCATCCACATTTGTAACATAAAAAAACTGAATCACTAAAAGAGTGAGGAACTCTCCCATAACAGCATTACTAGCAAGTGGGAGGCCACTGTCGGACTCAGGCACACATGGCTCTAAATCTGACACCCTTGGCCAACAAAGCATGCCCCCTCACTAAAGAGAGTTTGGTTAATGCTAAGAATACACGCAAAAGACAAAGGAAAAACACATTGCAGCTGGGATATTTAGGAAAGGCTCGATAGACATGATGGCAACTCTATCGTCTTATGTTAATCTGTCCCCTTATTTTATTTCAGCGATACTAATGCCTTTTCCCTCTTTAAGCCTTTGGTATATGCTACATATAATTTTCTTCTTGATTAGTTATCTTCCCATCTTTTTAGCCTGGGAATATTCTACTCATCTTTTCAAGAAACAGTGCAGATGTGAAATCTTTGGAGAGTTTTCTGTGCCTACTGGGACTGGGCTAGCTAACCCTCCCTATGTGCGTAATTGAAACACACTAGCACTGTTTTGCACTGCATTTTTTAATGTTAACTCTCCCCTCATGATTGGAAATACCTTGTCATCGTGTCATTATCCCCAGGGCCCAGATCGGGATCTAGCTACTTCATAAAATGTAAACAAAATCTGAAAAAATAGGGATGGAAGCAATCAAGTATGGTAATCTATTCCAAGTGATTGTTAGAGGTTGGTAAACTCACAGTGAATGATGACTTTATTAATGTTCTTAGAACAATAATGTTTGTTGTAAATTATTTTGCACATTTTGGAAGTACATTTTGGTTAAATTAAAAAAGTTTGCTTTCAAGTATTAATCATCTACTAAGCAAAACAAACTAATGACAATTTAAATTCATACTGCTATAACAATTGAAAGGAAAAATAAAACCCAGAATCAAGCACTCCTTATTCCTTGAGATTATTTACTTATATAAAATTTTAGTTATTACAAATAATTAATTATTAGAAAATAATTCAATATAATTTAAAATTTGAACCCAGGTAATAACATCCCACAATGCTACAATAACCTAATGCTTGTGAAGAAAATAAATGATCATGGTGGGAAAATAGCTAACTTTTTGCCTCAGCAAAAGAGAGATTAACCTATTTCCCATTTCTCTTTCTGCACCTATGTATTCACATTCTTACATAGTCCATTTATTTATAAATGTTAATATTTTACAATATTCTAAATAAATTGGGCCAAACAATAGCACATGCTGTCAAACATATCCAACGAGATAGGGCATAATGATTTGCTAAGTAAATACTGTAAGAGTTCCTTGAAAATTAAGCCAGATTACATGTATTTAGTCATATATGCATTATATGCACACAATGTCAAACTTAATTAATTGTAGAGTATCTGTTTCCCCATTTCTGTGACCAGAGGATCCTAAACTCCTAGAAAAATATATTTTCTTTAGTAATACACTTACCAAAATACCTTGACTTATTCCCCAGAACAAAGAAGTGTAGGTAGAGAAAAAAAAAAAAAGAAGTATTTTCCCCCATTGCATAGTATGGACCATGAAGTGCCAATATTGTTAAAACCCTATTTATTCATCCATGTTCCAGAAAATGCTTGAAAAATCTATTTTTAAATTATGTAACTAATACATGTTCATATAAAAATATTTGAAGGTCTAGAAAAGCATGTAGAAAGCAGTCTTTTATTAGCTCTTTGACCCTAGAGACTGAACCTCTGTACCTTAGTCTTCTTATCTGTATAATGGCCATACTTATAGTACCTCACTTATTGGGTTGTTAAGAGGATTAATGAGTTAATATTTGCAGAGCTTAAAACAGTACATAGCACACACTAAATGCTATAATTTCTGTTAAGCAAATACAATAAATTAATACTATCTCTAGCTCATTCTATGAGTTCCAGTTCCAGAGATACCCCTTTCAGACTTTTAAATCCAATTCAATATTACTCATTCGTTTCTTTCCTTCTATAGCACATTTTGAAAAATATAACCCTATAATAGCATCTACCATAGCCTGGTGTATGACGCCCTCCTTTTTCTGAAAGCAGGAATTGAATCTATTCATTCCAGTTAGCTAGTACCACATGCAGTGCTTGCCCTGGGTTCATAAATATTTGCTGAATGAAATTGATAGAACTGCAATAGTCTAGGTCAGAAATAATGTGGACAGAAACTAAGGCAGAACAATGGAAATGGAAACTACCTACACCATGATTTTCAATAATTAACTCAACTGATTTGTTTTTCCTTCTGTGTTTTCTCTGTAGGGAAGTTTGGAAGGGTACACTGAGCATCATCAGATAGCATAGAAATCTGTCTCATGGTTAATCAACCACTTCCTATAGAAAATCTGGATGGTGGAGGGTGGCCATGGTTCAAGAACCAGCTCAGTTACTTATTAAATCTAGAGCATTTCATTTAACCTCTTTGACATTCAATTTCTTTATCACTTAACTAGGACTAATACTTTAATGGGAACATTATTGTGAAGATTAAAAACAACATCAAAGGAAGAGCTCTTTAAGCATTAATAACAGTTATAAAAACTTCCCTCTAATAACTATTGATTCTCAATACAATGACAAAATTTAAAGTGGTTAAAACTAGAAGATGTATTAGATACATCTATGTTTGAAAATCTACTTTACCTTTTTCTAGCTATAAGATGGCCTCAGGCAAGTTAACTAAAAAAACTCTAAGCTTTATTTTTCCAAAAGTAGTTGAGTTGTAAACAAAAACAAACAAAGAAATCTGAGTAAATGTTAAGTGCCTAAGTAGCATATAATATGCTAAATAAATGTGAAATAAAAAAAGTAAATAATCAAACCTCCTGGCAATTAAAGGAGGTTAAATATATAAAATGATCATTCCAATTTTAGCACATAATAAATTCTTAACAAATATCAGCCATAATAACATATCTATAATATATAGATACAAAATGCATAAAATTAGTATAAATTGTATTTGAAATGTATAAAAGATACTAATAACTTCTTCTTCTCCTCCTTCTCCTTCTTCCCCTCCTCCTCTTCCTTCTTCTTCCTCTTTTTTTACTAATACCAGTAATTAATTATTTTAAATGGTCTACAAAACTCAAGAGGAGACAGACATAACCTATTACTAATAGAGTTAGGTTGAATTCATGTCTTATAGGAAAGTAGTATATACAGAATACCAGAATGACTAAACTTGAATGTGAACAAAATAAACACAAGTCTCATTGTTCACAGATACCCTTAGCATAGACATTATATACACACCATACTTCATCATCGCTTTTTCTCTAGAGAAACACATTATCATCTGCAGTTATGTAGTCAGTTTCCAGGAACCTCTATAAACAGGTGTCAAGATACAGTGACATTATATATTTAACAAAAATCCTTAATGTCTTACAACAAAAATAAAGTGTATAGTCTGGTCTGTAAGGTTTAATTTCGTTGACAGCAAAGTTAATGATTGATTATTTGATAATAAAAACCTATAATAGAAACATATGTGTATAAAATTACTACATATGAAAATAAGCATATATTTACTGTCAAGTCATAATAAATATAAAAGGAGAAAATGATGGGAAAAATATAAAGTAATAATTTGACTTTAAATGGAATTTTTATTTTATCAAAGTTTAAATTTACTTCGCTAATAACATAAGTAATAAATGTGCATGATAAACAAAATGGCAAAATACCTGATACCTAGAAGAGAAAAAAAACCCACCTATGGTCTCTCTGACCACCCCTGGGAAAACCACCATTATCTTTTGATATACTTTTTGTTAAAAATTAGTCTTTGATTTGTAACATTATTTTTAATGATGTTCTTTGAGAGAAAAATGACTGTGAGGGGAACAACATTCAGTCTCAGGCTGGGTTAATTTGTAGTCAGCAAAGAATAGTGTGCCTAGTAAATGCGGAACATGCAGTGATCTTTTCAGTCGCAGAGATCTGCATTTGGTGCTGGCTATGTTTATATATTTCGGCAAGGTCATAGGCAACTTATAATTACTATAATACATTTTTTTATGTTGTTGAATGAGTGAAGGACAATTTCTAATGGTTGGGCTGGGAGCAGGTAAGAAAGGAGGCTTTATTTTTTTAATTTATTTTTTATCCTCACCTGAGGACATTTTTGCATTTATCTTCAGATAGAGCGGGAGGGAGAGAGGGAGGAAGAGAGAGAGAGAAACATCAACGTGAGAGAGACACATTGACTGGTTGCCACCCACACAAACTTAACAGGGGCTGGGGACAACCTGCAACCAAGGTAGTACCCTTAGCAGGAACTGAACACAGGTCCCTCCAGACCGCAGGCCAACGCTCTAACCACTTAGCTAAACCGGCCAGGGCAAGATAGGAGATTTTAGAAAAGAAAGTTCTTTTAGGGGATTGTGGACAAAGAGATAATAATTGTATCATTTTTCATAGAAAGCAACGATGCTGTCATTTTTTTTGACGTTTGTTTTATTCACCAAATGTAGAGGTCACTAGTGTTAGCCATTGTGTACTAATGATAATATGGGCCTTGTACAAACACAGTTTCACTTAATACATGATTATATAAAGTGTGTATGTGTATGTGTGCAAATAATGTTTTGAAGAAAACTGAAGGAAACAATTTGATGTACTTAATCTCAGATAAAAATTAAATTCATGAAGTTTCAGAATATAAAAACTTGCCTAGCCTGTGTGGCTCAGTGGCTGAGCACTGACCCATGCACCAAGGGTTCACCGCTTTGATTCCTGGTCAGGGCACATGCCCAGGTTGTGGGCCAAACCCCAGTTGGGGGCATGCAATAGGCAGCCAATCAATGTTCTCTCCCATTGATATTTCTATCTCTCTCTCTCTCTCCCTTCCTCTATCTCTAAAATGAATGAAGAAAACAATTAAAAAACAAAAAACGTGCACAGTTATAGAAATGAACTATGAGCGAGACATTTCATTTTACTCATCTAAGCTGGGCTCCTTTCTTCCTAAAATAAAGCAATGGTATTAACAACGTTATTCTCTTATCATCTCCTAACAACAACAAAAGTTAGAGCAGAAAGAAAAATTTATAGCAAAGTTTCACAGTAATGCTTAGAAATAGCAATAAAATCGTTGGGTTACTAACCACTTATTTACCAATTTTTTTAGCATGGCTGTGGGAACTTTGTTCGTGTCATTCAAGCTTTCAACCGCACTCACCTGTACGTCTGTGGGAGTGGTGCGTTCAGCCCAGTCTGTACTTATTTGAACAGAGGGAGAAGGTCAGAGGTAAGTGTAACATTTTTTTCATTCTTAGTTTTGCTAAGGGTCAAAGATCACTTAAAACTCTTAATTAGAGTAAAAACTTGGAAATATAAAGTCATAAAAAAGTTCAAGCCCTGTAAACATTACATTATGTTTCTGCCGGTTAAGTTACTTAAAATACAGCCTTTTGCCTTTGTATGTATATGCGTGGCAATGCTGCAAAAGACAATGGAAAAAAATGGTGTGGTTTCATAGTTACTTAGAATGTAATGTACTGATAATATTTACTGCACATTATAGAAATATACTATATATTCACTTTCTCAAATCTATCTTAAGTAATTTCTTATTTATGTTTCAGATTTGGTAAACTTTTATGAGATACACACCTGTAAGAGATGTAAAAAGTAGAATGCCAAGTGTCTGCTGAAGATAACTTTATATAATTTATAAATCATACTTTGATTTTAGACTAATATTGGTGTATACCAGGGTATTCTACCTTGATTCTTACATTGGTTAAATGATTTGGGGTTCTGAGAGCAAGAGGGTCTTCTAAGTCTAAATACAGCTAATGTTCAGTGAAATCCACGACTGGTTCAACTTCACCTGTGACATTTACGACTGTTTATCCCAGTTTACAGTTACTGACTCAGGAAACAATTCATTAGCCCAAAAGAGTCTTTCCTTGTTCTTTTAGTCAAACGTGTTGTTTTACTTAATATAAATATTTTGAAAACGTATTTCTTTCAAAATATCTAGCTTTGGATTTATTATGCATCTTAAATCTAGAAAGTCCAGTTCTTCAATAATGTCAATTCAATTTTAAAGATTAGAATTTTTTAAAATGATATCTTGTTACTGATGGTTATTTTCCTTTAACAAAGATTAATATACTTTAGGACAAATATAATTGAACAATCTCTCTATATTCCTTTATTATTTTTTATACATGTAATTTATATATATCTTTTGGTGAATGAAAAATCACTTAAAAATAAGTAATATCATTTGACCCCATATTGAAGCATTTCCAAGTGGTTCAAAATAATATGAAGTATTAAAATTCTTAAAGAAATGTAAAGCTCTGCTTCTTGGAAGAGTACCGTTGGCTGCATTGAGCTTGTCATTAGAAACACATGTCTGTGATCAATTGATTAAATAAACTACTGCCCCAGACGTCTGCAATCTGTCAGACACTCCACTGAAGACGGCGCAGTCACCGCGCAGGCCAACAATAGCACAGCCATTTGCAGAACACGGATTTCAAATGCAATCATTTCGCCCTGTACAAATCGCCCACTATACACTTCAAGGCTTAATTGGAAAGTCAGTAAAAAGAAATAATCTCTTTTGGAAAACCAGCATGGAATAAAATTTAATCGCTTTACTAAATATGAACTACTTTAGTCTCACTTCAAAAGATACATTTCAAAGGGGAAGCATTTCCATCAGTTAATCTCTTTAAATAATATGTGCACATTTTAAGAGTCCATTTAAATATGAAAAGGGTTATGAATTTTAACTTTTTTAATGCTTTCCTTGGTAGTCAAGTCAAAGGGTTTTATCATAATATCACATTTATATACATATCTGTAGTAAATATAGAATGCAGTTTTATCAAACATCTAATGTATTTATGGTTCCTTAGCATAAAATTACCACATGATGCAGATAGTTACAGTCTGAAAGAATTCCCCTTCTTGTTCATTACTAACATTATATTTTGTAATGACCAGGGGTAGTACTTACTGCTAACACATTGTGTTAGTACTAAGATATGTCATTTTTCATGTATTTGAAACCAGTTTAAAAGTGAATCAGAATAGGGTGGAATAATATTTAAATATTGTTTTATTTCTGTGACACTACCCATCACCTTTGGTCTTTCTGTCAAATAGCAATTCATTGGTTCTCAGAGAATATCTTACTAGCCTACTTCACATTTGGAACATCACATACTTTCATTATACCCTATGGCTTTAACATTATTCAGTGAAACTGATTCAGAACTTTTCTAGATCATTTCAACGATGTCCACCCAAGGAGCCTACAATACTTGCTATATCAATTCCTAACCATATGGTTCTTTTCTTCTATCCATTATCTTTGTTCTCTGTCTTCTGTTCCTGGAAAATGGTAAAGAAATGCATGTAAAGAATGATTTTAAATAATGAATAAATCCAAAACATCAGTGTGTCCATAACATCAATTCCAACAATTGAATATCATTTAAGCCCCTGACCCTGCTACTCATCAAGCAAATAACCTTACTTTTGACTGAGCAAGAATATCACAGATGACCAAGACTATCAGAGGCATCCAAATTATTCCTTGTACTTTTGAAGTAAATTAGACACCAAACTTTTCTGTTTATACATCTCTTTGTAGCTTTCCTCCTGTCAGAAGAAAAGTTGTACATTTTCTTTATCAATAAAGTTATTTGATTGATAACCTTTATTACTCTGTTTTATATCTTCATTCCTTTTTCCCTGCACTTATATTTTTTTCTATTTAAAAATAGGATTATGTTTTCTTCGCTTAAAGTTATCTTGAATGTGACTTTTAAAAAATTCATCTCTTTTCTTTCTCTTTACCTCATCACAAAGCTTCTCAGACTAGCAGGCTATACTTTCAGCTCAATGATGAAACTGACTCTCCTAAAGAGCACTTTCTCCTAGACCGATCTGTAACATGCAGGTCATGCCCTCTATTTTTCAATGCTTTTATTGCATCTATAACCATCAGACATTTTCTCTATGCCTTCTATTCTAATTTTTCATCATCAGCTCTCTTTCTGGTCCTATTGTTTTCTCTTATTGATTCAATCTTCCCATATGTATTTATTTAATGAGAATAATGGCAGAAACAAAATCATGTCAGAACTTGTTAGCTATCTTTAAGATATTGGTCTTTCCACTGGGTCAAAGGAGAAGCACCTGGAACAATCTTCTTTTTTTTTTTAATCATTTTTTTTACAATTACAGTTGACATACACAGAGTTATATTAGTTTCAGGTGTATACGCCAGTGATTAGACATTACATAAATTAGTAAATGATCATTCCAATAAATCTTGCACCCATCTGACACTATACATAGTTATTAGAATATTATGGACTATATTTTGTATGCTATACTTTACATCCTCCTGACTATTCTGTAATCACCTAACTGTACTTCTTAATCCCTTCACCTTTTTTATGTATCCCACTACCCCCCTCCTATCTTGGCAACCATCAAAATGTTCTCTATATCTATGAATTTCTTTCTATTCTGCCTGTTCATTAATTTTGTTTTTAAATTCAATTGTTGAAAGATAATGTGTTTATTGTCATTTTATTGTTCAAATTGTTAATCATTTTTTTTAATCTTCTTCTTCTTAAAGAAGACCCTTTAACATTCTATATAATACTGGTTTGGTGGTGATGAACACCTTTAGCTTTTCCTTGTCTGGGAAGCTCTTTATCTGTCCTTTGATTCTATATGATAGCTTGGCAGGATAGAGTAATATTGGTTGTAGGTGCTTGCTTTGCAGCACTTTGAACACTTCTTGCCAGTCCCTTCTAGTCTACAAAGTTTCCTTTGAGTAATCAGCTGACAGTCTCATGGGAGCTCCCTTGTAGGTAACTTAACTACTTTTCTCTTGCTGCTTTTCAGATTCTCTTTTTGTCTTTAACCTTTGGCATTTTCATTATGATGTGTCTTGGTGTGGGCCTCTTTGTGTTCATCTTGTTTGGGACTCTGTGATTCCTGGACTGTGTGTTTCCTTCACCAAGTCAGGGAAGTTTTCTGTCATTATTTCAAATAGGTTTTCAATTTCTTGCTCTCTCTCTTCTCCTTCTGGGACCCCCATGATGTGAATGGTGGTACACTTGAAGTTGTCCCAGAGGCTTCTTACACTATCCTCATTTTCCTTTTTGGATTCTTTTATTTCTTTTTGTTGTTCTGATTGGGTGTTTTATGTTTCCTTATATTCCAAATTGCTGATTTGATTCTTGGCTTCATCTACTCTGCTTTTTATTCTTTATTTCAGTTGGCATATCCTTCACTTTTGACTGGTCCTTTTATATGCTGTTGATGTTTTCACTAAGTTCGTTGAGCATTCTTATAACCAGTGTTTTGAACTCTGCATCTAGTAGATTGTTTGTCTATATTTTGTTTAATTCTTTGTCTGGAGTTTTATTCTGTTCTTTCATTTGGGACATGTTCTTTGTCTCCTCATTTTGGCAGCCTCCTTGTGTTTGTTTCTATGTATCAGAACTTCTATGTCTCCTAGGCTTGGTAGAATGGCCTATTGTAGTAGGTGTCCTGTAGGGTCCAGTGGCACAGACTCCCTGATCACCCAAGCTGGCCACTCCAGTTGCACCCCCATGTGGACTGTGTACACCCTCCTGTTGTTGAGCCTTGATTACTATTGGCATGTCACTGGGAGGAATTTACCCCAGGCCAATCAGCTACAAGGACTTGTATAGGCCACTGACAATGGACCTTTAACCACCATGGAGAATCAGCTGTGCAGGGACCTACCCCACAGAGCAGGACTTATTTCAGTGGGGCTCAGGTTCCTGCTGAGTCTGCCCTTTGAGTGTATCCTTGTAGAAATGGTTGGGTGGTGATGCTTCAGTGTGGTCTAAAGCTGTCCACTGCCCTGGCTCTGGTGACCAAGGTGGTGCAGGCCAAGGTCAGCCACTGCCTGTGTTCTGCCCAGGGACACCTGGCATAAGCTACAAAACAATCTGCAGATGGCTATTACTTTTGCTGGGCTTGGAGGTGACCAGGTGAGGTCAAGCTATGAAACAAGGCCGGCTACTACTACTGTCGGGTCTAAGCCATTTAAAGAGAGGTATGGGGCTCACTGAGGCCAGATGCTGTTTGTTTGAGAGATTTTAGGAAAACCTGAAACATGAGCCTAGACAGGCCATATGTATGGAAAAGCCACTGGAGACAGCTTGCGTGGGCCTGAAAGTTGGGTGTGGTGGGGCCTCAGGAAATAACCAGGGTGGGGCAAACATTGTGAGCCAA